GTCATTATGAGTTGGAACCGACTCAATGGCACTTAACAACAACAACAAATCCCTATGGAAACAGAAAGCCTCATCTTTATACCAAGGAGCGGCTGGTGGGCTTGAACCACCAACCTTGCGGTTAGCAGTCCAGTGTTACTGCACCACGAGTGTTCCCTCTGTCACATGTTGTTGTTGTGATGTGTGGTGGTGTCAGGAACCGATCCATAGCGACCCTGCACAGGGTTTCTGAGGCTGTAAATCTTCACGGGAGCCGAAAGCCTCATCTTTCTCCCATAGAACAGCTGGTAGTTTTGAACTGATGACTGTCAGATTAGCAGCCCGATTTGTAACCACATACATACCTAGAAATAAATTGGGGGCAGGGGCGCAAAGGGCACATACAGTGGTGGTTTTTAAAGGTATTCTGGATTGAATTATGCTTATGTCCCCGCCCCCCCCAAATATGTTGAAATCCTACCCCTGTACCTGAAAAAAGGAACCCTGGTGGCCCAGTGCATTAAACGATGGATTGTTAAGGACAAAGCCGGCTGGCAGTTTGAGTTCATCAGCTGCTCCTCTAAGGAAAGATGAGGCAGTCTGCTCCCAGAAAGATTTACAATCTCAGAAACCTCATGAGCACTTTCAATCTGTCCTGAAAGTCAGAATTAACTCAATGGCAGTGGTTTTTTTGGCTATGACACCTGCAAAAGGTCCCTGGGTGACAGTTTGCACTTGACTTGGCACTGTGGGTTAATGTACTGGATCGCAAAGTCAGTTTGAACCACAAGGTCAATGGTTCAAGCTCGCCAGCTGCTCCTCGGAAACCCTATACAGGGTCGCTATGGGTCAGAACTGACTCGACGGCCCTCAGCAACAAAAGCAACAACAAACTGAAAGTTTGTCAGTTTGAACCCATCCAGCTGAACCACGGAAGAAAGGTCAGGTGATCTGTTACAATAAAAATAACAGCGAAGACTATCCTATGAACACAGTTCTACTCTGACATCCATGGGGTCACCATGAGTAAGAGTCGACTCAACAGCAAGTGGGTTTTAGGGTATCTGTGCGTGTTTTGTTTTGTTCTTTAACCACCCACTGAATGGGTGTGGGAATAGGGGCTGGCAGGAGAAGAGACAAGGGGATACTCTCTCTGGAAACCAGGAGCCTGGTGGCGTGGGACAGGCAAATGTTGGTTGACATTTTCAGGATTTTGTTTTCCAGCCCTTTGCTGGTCAGTCTTGGAATATAAATGACAAGAGCGCTGCCCTCCCCAACACCATGGCCTCTTTCTCTGTCCATCCCCAGAGAACACAGCAGGGGTTGTTACAGCTGTTGTTTCACATGAGGAACATGGGATTGAATCATTACAAAGTTCTGGCTGTGCATAAATCCTCTGTGGCTCCCTAGTGCCTCCTACAAGGTAAAGCACATCCCGGAGACACTGATAATCCCTGCCAACCATCATGTCTTTATGATGCTGCCTGATTTTACAGGTGAGAAAAAGGAGGCAAGAGGAACACCGCAGGCTGCTTAAGATCACAAGACTGTGAACTGGGGGAACTGGGGTTTGAACCAAGGGAGTCAGACTCTGGAGCCTCATTCCCAATCTCTGTGTGACAGTGCTCACTCACTCTCTGTCTTGCTCACTCTCTCTCTCTGTGCCTCCCTCCCTCTCTTTCTGCTCATCTCACGTCTCCTATGCATGAGATGATTTGGGACTTGGAGTCTGAAATGTTACAAGCGTTTCAGTGGTTACTAGAGGCAACCCTGAGTGAGAACCACTGCTACATGAGAGAAGTGAGCATTTACAACGCATCAGACCAGGGCTGATCTCCTCAGATTGCATCATGGGGGTTCCTATTTCTTAACTACCCAACCAAATTGTTGAGATTTATGTCTCTAGGCTAAATCTTATAAAGATTAACTTCTTTATGTTTTTTCATAGTATGCAAGGTCAATTTCAAGGTTGTTAGCATTCTTCATACACTCCACAAATTCAGAAAATTTCTAAATAACTTTCTAATAATTACAGGTCTTGCTGTAGAATAAGCACTGGACTGCTAACTACAAGGTTGGCAGTTCAAACCCACTGGCTGCTCCAAGGAAGAAAGATGAGGCTTTTAGCTCCTGTAAAGATTTACAGCCTCAGAAACCCTATACAGAGTTGAGATGAGTCAGAACCAACTCAATGACAGTGATCTTTTGTGTGGTTTGCATGTATTTAAGTATAATCATGACTTACATCTGTGATTTGGGAGTGTTACGGAAACCATACAGAGCACGCAGCCCTAAAAGCAGGAGTCCTGGGGGTTCCTGAAAGGAGAGGGAAGGTCAGAGGCAGATGGCGTACTTCCCAGGAGGAACAGAATGAAAGCCACAGGTTCCCCATTTGGAAATAACTCAAAAGTCCAGAATGAGCGTGTCAGAAAGTGATTTCTGGAAATTCCCAAGAAACCAGGTTCGGAGTTTCCATTCAGAAGTTGAATCATGCGCGTCCAGAGAGAAGGATGCTCAAGTCAGAACCATCGACCTGTTCATGGTCATGTGCCATGAGTGGAAATCGGGTTTGGATCAGAGTGAATAACCAGGGACTAACCTCTCCCAATGGGCTCTGTTGGTTTTCTAGAGCCGCTGTAACAAATAACACAAGCAGATAGGCTTCTGTTGTAGTTGTTGTTGTTAAGTGCTGTCGAGTCGGTTCTGACTCATAGCGACCCTGCACAGGGTTTCCAAGAAGGAGCTGGTGGGTTTGAACACCAACTTTGTGGTTCCCAGTCCAGTGCTGATCAGACAGCACCACACAGAAGTCCAGAAAGGTTTATAAGAGCAGTAATAGACCATCTCATGGTTCTGGAAGCTGTATGTCCAAATCAGGATATTGACCATGTTTGAATCCTTCTAAGGGTTCAGAGACAGAATCTGTCCCATGCTCCTCTCCAATTTCTGACAGCTCCAACATACCTGGTCACATGACATCCTGTCTCTGTTGCCATCTGTATCATCTTCTCCTCTTTCATAAGAACACCAGTCGTATAGGATTAGGGCCCACCCTACGTCAGGTGGTCGGTGGGAGAAAGATCTGATTCTGTTCCCATAAAGATTTACAGCCTCGGAAACCCTATGCAGGGTCGCTATGAATCGGGACCGACAGTACACCCCCACGGCCACCACTCCAGTTTGACTTCATGTTAACTAAGATAACACCTTCTAAAACCCCATTTCCAAATAAGGTTACATTCATTAGAACAGGGTTTAGTTTAGAACAGGGTTTATTTGGAGGAAACACTGACCAATTTTCTGCAAAGATACCTTCAAACAGGGGCCAGAGCTGGTGAGCCTTCTGGGAAATGATGTGAAATTGAAGAACACTGTTGTTGTCTTTAAGCGCCTTCAAGAGCCTCTGCATGAGAGCAAACCACTTCCTGGATTTGCACCATCCTCACAATCAATACCTGTTAGGTTTGAGCCCATTGTTGTAGCCATGATGCTAATCCATCTTGTTGGGGGTCTTCCTGTTTTTTTGCTGACCCTCAGCTTTACCAAATATGATGCTGTTGGGGGTCCCTCCCCACCCCTACCCCAGGACTGGTCCTTCTTGACAACATGTCCAAAATATGTGCGACAAAGGCTCTGTTTCTAAAGGAGTATTCTGACTGTCCTTGTTTCAAGATAGAAAGACCATGCAGCTCTCTTGGTCTCTATCTTCGTGTCTCTAATTCTCTGTCATTCTCCTCCCTGTTTCTTTGTGCCCAACTCCCTTCTCTTCTCTTCCCATCTCCCAGTCTCTACCTCTGAGTATGTGTCCCCAGCATTTCTCTCCTCTTTCTGTCTCTACTTTGTCTCTGTTTCCTTCTCTGCCTCTCCTGGTGTCTACCTCTCCCTTACTCCTTGCTTCTCTCCCTCTCTCCCTGCTCCTCTGAGGCCCTTGAATTCCTCCTTCCTGTCTTCCAACCACCCTTCTACTCAGTCCTCCTCTTCTCTGCAGACCACCTGTCTCCATTCACGAAGATGTACCCATGGTTCCCAACCTACACACTTGATAGCTGGAGTGTTTACAATCACTGACTTCTCTCCGGACCAAACCAGCTAGGTCTAATTACCAAGAGAAGACATGTAAGTGGTCCATCTTGGAACAGAGGATAATCCATCAGTCTGGTTGCAGTCAAGGCCTCTGGGAACAAACATAACCTCAGAGGTTTACATCTGTGGGAAGGATAAGGTTCTCACAGATGGGTCTGGGATGGGGTGAGCACCCCAGAAGCTGTAGGTCAGCCCTGCCCCCTTTTTAGGAAGGCATTCTTGGGCCTGACTGGACATCCTCCACTATCTTCTGCCCAAATGCTCTTAACATTAGACATGAACGGAAGTCAAAGGGTGCTTCAGGACTGGTCTTAGTTATTCAGTGCCGCAAGGTTGGATGTTCAAACCCACCAGTACCTTAGAGAGAAAGATAAGGCTGTTTGTTCCCATAAAGAAACCTGTTTGCTCCCAGAACCCCTAAGGGGCAGTTCTACTGTATCCTATAGGGTCACTGTGAGTCAGAATGAACCCAACAGCAATGGATGCACTATAATAGAAATACCACGATTGGTTCCAACTCACAGTGACCATGTATAGGGTTTCCAAGGAGCAGCTGGTAGGTTGGAACCACTGACTTTGTGGTTAGCAGTTCAGTGTTTATCCTACAGCACTACACCAGGACTCCAACGGTGCAATGTTGTCGCTGTTGTTAAGTGCTGTTGAGTCGGTTCCAATCCATCGCAGGCAACCCTGTATAGGGTTTCCGAGGCTGTAAATCTTTATGGGAGCAGAAAGCCTCATCTTTCTCCTGTGGAACGGTAGTTTCAAACTGCTGACCTTGAGGTTAGCAGCCCAACTTGTAACCACTCACTTAATATAAATGTTTGTTGCTATGAAAAAAAGCTCCTACGATTGCCTTTGCAACCCAAAGATTTCTGGACCAATCCTGAAAGTCCCCGCCTACAGGCCAACTGGGATCAAGTAGTTGTACAATTCAGATGCCTGATTTCCCCCAGTCCGCCATTGCTAGCGGGCTCCACCCGCCAGGGAATTGTTTCGCTGCCGGCGGAAGCGGTGACGCTCCGCTCGCAGCGCAGAAGAAACGTGTGGAGAGCTGGGGAGCTGAGTGGGAGGAATCCAGCATGGACCCGGCCTCACCCCTAGTGTGGCAGGCGCTGCGGCTGTTGTTAGTGCAGCTGTTGCTGTCCTGCAAGCCCCTGGAAGCCGGTAAGTGTCCACTCACAGGCTTTTTTGCCTTCTGACCCCTTTCTCAAGAGAAGCCCTCGTAGTACAGTGCTTAAAAGGAGTTTTGAACCTCTAATCAAAAGGTCAGCGGTTGAAATCCACCAGTCGCTCTTTGGAAGAAAAATGGAGCGAGCAGTCTGTGGGGCAGTGCCAGTCTGTGCTGGAGGGTCGCCGGGAGGCAGGATGGTCTCCACAGTAACAGGTTTCTCAGGTCCCCAGGGCTGAAAGGGAAGGGTTTCTGAGTTCAGTCGCCAAAAGAGCGGCGGCACCGGCGGCAGTGTTAAGGGGGGGTGTCACGTTACACGGTGTGCAACAGGGGGGTTGGGGGGAAAGTGAGTCATATCCGGGAAACCTCATCCCCCTCCACACCCAAACCCAACGCTCCTGAGATCCCCGACCACTCTAAGTATCAACAGAGGATGGAGGGTTAATGTTGTTGTTAGGTGCCATCGAGTAGGTACTGACCCAAAGCGACCTATGTAGGAAACACTGCCCCATCCTGGACCAACCTCACAGCTGTTGCTAGGCTTGAGTCCATCGATGCTTGCCACCTGGCTAATCCATCTCTTTGGGGGGGTCTTCCTCTTTTTCTCTGACCCTCCACCTTACCAAACATGATAACCTTCTCCAGAGACTTGTCCTTCCTGACAATATGTCTGAATTATGAAAGACGAAGTTAGGCCATCTTGGCCTCCAAGGAGCACTCTGGCTGCACTTCTTCCAAAACGGATCTATTGGTTCTTTTGGCAGCCCATGGCACTTTCAATATTCTTCTCTAACACCATAACTCAAAAGCATCAATTTTTCTGCTATCTTCCTTATTCACTGTCCAGCTTTCACATGCATATGAGGTTATTGAAAATACCATGGCTTGAGTCAGGTGCACCTTAGTCCTCAAGTTGACATCTTTGCTCTTCAAAAAGGGCTTGTGAAAAAAAAAAAAGAGCTTGTGCAGCAGATTTGCCTAATGCAATACGTTGTTTGATTTTTTGACTGCTGCTTTCCTGAGAGTTGGTTGTTGATACAAGAAGAATGAAGTCCTTGACAACTTCAGTGTTTTCTCCATTGATAAGGATGTTGTTTATTGGTCCAGTGGTGAGGATTTTTGTTTTCTTTACATTGAGATGTAATCCGTACTGAAGGCTGTGCTCTTTGATCTTCATCAGTAAATGTTTTAAGTCCTCCTCACTTTCAGCAAGCAAGGTTGTATCATCTGCATATCGCAGGTTGTTAATGAGTCTTCCTCCAATCCTGATGCCACATTTTTCTTCATAGAACCCAGCTTCTCAGATTATTTCCTCAGTATACAGGATGAATAAGTATGGTGAAAGAATACAACCTTGTCGCACACCTTTCTTAATTTTAAACCATTCAGTGTTCCCATGTTGTGTTTGAACAACTGCTTCTTGGTTCAGGTACAGATTCCAAATGAGCACAATTAAGTGTTCTGGAATACTCATAATTCGCAATGTTGTCCATAGTTTATCGTGATCCACACAATTGAAAGCCTTTGTGTAGTCAATAAAGCACAGGTAAACATCTTTCTGATAGTCTCTGCTTTCAGCCAAGATCCATCAGACATCAGCAATGATATCCCTCATTCCACGGCCTCTTCTGAATCCAGCTTGAACCTCTGGAAGTTCTCTGTCAGTGTATGCTTGCAGCTATACCTTTAGCAAAACTTTACTCACATGGGACATCAAAGAGATTGTCTGATGATTTCCACATTCTGTTGGGACACCTCTCTTTGCAATAGGCACAAATTAGGATGTTTAGTAGAGGAGCCCAATTGTTAGGCTCCAAGGGTTGTGCCATGGTCCTTCACTTATTCCTTCATTTATTCATTCATTATAAGTATGCATTCATCCCTCACACTTAGTATGTACCTACTGTGTGCCAGCCAGTGTTCCAAGAGCTGGGGTTACAGCTTAGAAGAAAGATGACCCAAACTTCAAAGCTCAGCGTTTGCTACTTTAATGGCTGTGTGATTTCTGTAACGTAGCCTGTGTCTCTGTTTTGTTTAAATCATTTTCTAGGAAGGCTTTGAGGAGAAACTGAGATTGTCTTGAGAAACTTTCTAGACAGTTTCATATGCACAGGGTATTAGCAATACTGAGACTAATGTCAGTACATGAGAGCACTTACAATACAGAGTGTAGTGGGTGGGGGTGGGTGGGGCAACAGGAATGGGAGTCAGAACCCTTCATCTCAGCATTTCCTAAAAGGTGACTGGGTGAATGGACAATGGGTGCTTCACCAGAAAAGGATATGCCATGGTCTGGAATGTTCCAATTGGGCAGGCCTTTGAGAATCTCAGCTTGGGGCCTAGCCTGAGGATCACACAGGGAGGAGCTGCTTTATGTGTAAACACTAGAATGTTTGCACCTAACAGATTCTGCAGATTCTGAACTCTCACTTGCACTCATGTTATGTTGTTAAGTGTCACCGAGTTGGTTTTGACTCATAGTGAGCCTGTATAAGGTTTCTGAGGCGCGACTGGGAGGTTTGCAGCATAAACCAGGACTCCTAGGGCACTGAAAAATTGGAGGAGGCCACGGGGACCGAAGCAACACTGGACTGGCAGAGTAGGTGCTAAAGAGTGGCTTTTACATGGGAAACTCCCCAAGGGACAGATCACCTCTTCCAATTCCATCCCCCAGGGTGGGGGTTGGTAATTACAAGCCGTGGAGTCGGTTCTGACACATAGTGGGCTGTACAGGGTTTCCGAGGCTGTAAATTTTTACAAGAGCAGAAAGCCTCATCTTTCTCCCGCAGAATAGCTAGTTCAGTAGTTCATATCAGTAGTTTTGAACTTGCTGACCTTGAAGCTAGCAGCCTGACTCATAACCACTATGCTACCAGAGCTCCTTTTCCTCAGTTGTAGCCCTGCCAATGAACAGTTCCTGGCCCCCCTCCAACAAGAGGAAATGAAATAAGAGGAGACTCACTTGCTCAATCACGTATTCATTGGTCATACCTTCTCCCCTCTATCCAGACTGTGACTTTCTTCTCTCCCATGCTCTAAGCACTTCTCTCCCCTACCTCCCAGTCTCCTCTTTCTCATAATAATATCTGTACCTTTCACCTTGTAGAGCACTTTGGTGTTGGGTGGCCTTGACTCAGTTCCAGCTGACAGCGGAACCACCCCACGGTTTCCTAGACTGTAATTTTTATGGGAGCAAATCAGTCAGGCCGTTATTCACAGTTGCTTCTCGGTGAATTTGAACTGCAGGATTAGCAGCCATGCGTTTAGCTCCTTATGTTGTTGGTAAGTGCTGTGGAGCCAGTTCCAACTGATAGGGACCCTGTGTATGGTTTCCAAGGAGCGGCTGGTGGGTTTGAACTGCAGACCTTGCGGTTAGCAGCCCAGTGCTGATCCTACATGCCACACTAGAAGTCCGTATTACACTGCTTACCATAGTCAGCCTGTAGTACACAGCAGAACACTCCACAGGTTCTTGAAGTCCTGATGTGAGACTGTAGGATAAACACGATAGCTAACTGCAAGTTCGGCAGTTCAAACCTACCAGCTGCTCCTCAGAACCCCTATACAGGGTTGCTATGAGCTGGAAACAGCTCCACATCACTTAACAACAGCTTCAGCAAATAGCAGGGGCTTCCTAACGATGCTGTTTATGAAAGTAGAGTGCTAAGCTTTGTCTTCCACAGAGACACTGGGTGAGTTTGTACCGCCAAACGTCAGGCTAGCTGCCAATCAGAAACCTCTTGTGCCAGCCACGCTCCTATGAAGTGATTGTTATTGTTGTTGTTGTTGTCAACTCATAGCAACTCTGTATACAATTTCCAAGGAGTGGCTGGTGGACTTGAACCATCGACCTTCTGGTTCGAAGTCCAGTGCTGATCCTACAGCGCCACCCCAGGACTCCATTAAGTGATTATAACGTCCATTTTTCAGATGAGGAGACTGAGGCTCAGAGGTGTGAAATCACCTGCACAGGGTACACAATTCCTTCCTGCCTTCTCTATAAATCTTATTTTTATTCAATGTGTGAAGCCTAGAGCTGAGGCCCCTGCTATGTGCTGGAGCCCTGAAGAGAGATGTTTCTATATATGCCTATGGGACCCGATGATTAGAGGTCCAGATTGTGACTGCAGAAGACCTAGGTTCAAATCCCACCTCTGCCACTTACCCCCTGTATAACCCGGGACAGAGAGCTCTATGCCTTGGTGGCCCCATCGGTAATGGGAAATGCGGTCCTTTCTTCAGGGAGCTCTGAGGACTGAGAACTGAGAGGTGTGTGACACACTCCAACAACCCCTGGTCCTGGTGACTGTCCTGTGACTGTTCACTGTCTTTAGTCCCAATGTACAGACTCAGAGAAAGAACCAGAGAGGTTAAGCAAGCTGCCTGAGGCTTCACAGCAGAACTTTAAAGGAGCCCTGGTAGCGTAGTGGTTATGAGTCGGACTGCTAACCTCAAGATCAGCAGTTCGAAACTACCCGCTGTTCCACAGGAGAAAGGTGAGGCTTTCTGCTCCCTTAAAGATTTACAGCCTCAGAAACCCTGTACAGGGTCGCTGTGAGTTGGAACCTACTCCTCAGCACACCACCATCACCACCAAAGCTGGTGGGCTATAATTACCATCCTTCTTACACCAGGAACCCCCACAAATAGTTTCCCAACCTTGCCCACTCGAAGTAATAGCAATATTGCTTTAAATTTTTTTCCAGTATAAGTTTCCATTTCTTTTGAAATTGGAACAGTATAGAATAAAGTGGTTTGTGTCTGAAACAACCTTTGTGGAAAAGACAATTGGAGAATCTTTGTTCATGAAAAGAATAAATTCCAGAAGTCTGAGCCAACTGTCCCACCATCCCGGAACAAAGTACAGATGGGAAGGGTATGACCAAAATGGCAAATTTATAGGAAAGTACAAATTTCAAAGTTGCCCCAATGACAGACCCGTGAAAGCAGATTCACATTCATAAAAACAATTATTCACTGCTGTGAGGAAGTGACT